TTACGTCAGCTTTTGCAGCGCAGCGCAATCCCTCTTTTTGGGGCCACCCACATATGAGCCACGACGTCCCTGCCCTTCTTTTCCTGTCCCTCAGTCCCTATCTGTCGGGCATTTTGATTGAAATGTGTTTGTTTGGCAGCGGCGGCTTTTGCACTGCCCTGACTCTCACCCCTTCGACAGCCAACGCCTCTGTTCCGGGCCAGAAACAATAAATGCGAGAAAACAAGAATTTTGCACCGAAACCGAACTCTGAAGCCAACCAAACGAAAGGAAATCCGTCCTGAACATACGCTGCACAGAAATAAAATACTCTATATCATATAAACGATACATATCTTTATAATAAGAGAAGAACCCATCTTTGTTCCTGCTAACGGAAAACCGATTTTAAATAGTCCTTTTATAAACAATAGTGGAATTTCAGGATCCAATAGAAAATCGATATGAACTAACTTTAATTAAATGTAAAAAAAACTCATTACTTAGCCAGAAATGCATTAATTTTGATATGAACGTTTTTTATGTGCTAGTTTTGAATAGACTTATACATCTTCATACCCAATTTGAAATTTTACAATATTCAAATTTTTATCAATTTTAAAAAATTTTTAAGATGGTACCCCTTTAATTTTTTTGAAAAAAAAAAAAAAAATTTTTTTTTCCTCGTACATGCCCAGAAAGATTCGACTGTTGATGCTGGTCAAGAATTTATATGGATTATAGGGTCGGAAATGACTCCTTCACTGCTTTGCAAACTTCAAACTAACATTATAATACTCGGCAATAGTATAGAAATCTAGGAAATCGCTTGTAATTACATGGAAAAAAATATTTTTTTTTCAAGTGTAGAAACACCATTCCACCACTCGGTTCAGTTGCGTTTCCCTTCCGCAGTCGAGCACAATATGGACGTGGAGGAGAATCGGATGGACATGGACATGGACATGGAATGCTCCTGCTCTGATGTTGTTGCCACCGATGTTGTGAGGCATTTCAGTGGCACACCCGCATACCTCCAACACATCCCTGCACACGCACACATGCGGCAGCAGCAACAACAACAACTTAAACTGTTGCAACATTTGCGGTGACTTTGGTGTCTGTCAGATGGAACAAAAGAGGAAAAGAGGGGAACAGGGGAACAGGAGAAAGGTGGTGGCCAGAGTGACGAGAATGATGTTTATACAAGGATGAAAACAAGCGAGAGATTAAAGCGGAGATAGGACAACGAGAGATATAAATGGGGAAAAATGTTTAAATACATTTGAGTTTTTAATTGATTTTCTTATATTTATAATTGAATTTATTTTTCTTTAAGAGTATTCAATTGCATACTTTAGTAGCCTTTGAATATTAATTAAAAAATATTTCTTAAATTAAATTACTATTAAATAATTCCAAGCTACAAAATTGAATATTTATAAAGAGTTTCTCAGATTTTTCCTTTAGGTTGATCTTCCCCTAAAAATATATTTTTTAATGGAATCGAAGCGATGCCTTATGACACTTTATTCTCTTGCACCAGAGAATTGTTTAGTTTCGGCAAGTTAAGGTATACCATTAGCTTTGCATTTCTTCGTCTTTATCTGGGTACTTTCTTTGGCCCCAGAAGACGAACCGAAAACCCAAACTTCGACTTGTGCTCGATAACCCAAACCGAACTGCAACCGAACCGAAATTGTCGCCCAAAGGAATGGGAAACAAATTTAATTAAAGTGTCAGTGACGCTTTTCACGTTTTTGCTTGGTTGGTAGCGAAACCGCGTAAAACTTGCCCCCGGTAGAAGTTTATTTTCTTGCATCGCCTGGTGCATTATTTTTGTAATTTTTTTGCGCGTTTTTATACCCTTGCAGGGTATTATAATTTCAGTCAGAAGTTTGCAACGCAGTGAAGGAGGCACCTCCGACTATATAAAGTATATATATTCTTGATCAGGATCAACAGCCGAGTCGATCTAACCATGTCCGTCTGTCCGTCTGTCCGTCTGTCCGTCTGTCCGTCTGTCCGTCTGTCCGTCTGTCCGTCTGTCCGTTTCTACGCAAACTAGTCTCTCAGTTTTGGAGCTATCTGAATGAAACTTTGCAGTTAGTCTTCTATATACTCTCACTCGTATATATGTCGGAACGGGCCGGATCGGACGACTATATCATATAGCTGTCATAGGAATGATCGGAAAAGTTTTACAAAAAAATTATAAAATTTTTAGTTTTCAACAGAATTTGATCAAATTTGAGATATAGCCATTTCATATTATTCTACAATTTTGTGTAAAATTTTATGAAAATCGGACTAATATATCATATAGCTCCCATAGGAACGATCGAGAAATTAATACAATTAAATTTATAACTTTTTTAGTTTTCAGCTGATTTTCATCAAATTTGAGGTATAGCTATTTTATATAAGTCTAAAATTTTGTGGAAAATTTCATAAAAATCGGACTATATCATATAGGTGCCATACAAACGATCGTTTGATGTAGAGAAAAAATGCAAATCTGTGAATGTAAAACTGCAAATATAATATGTATAGGTGAATGAAATGAAAGCAGGTATTACTTCATTGTTTTTTAACACAAGTATATATAATTTATATTGTATGGATTCCTATTCATAGAAGTTCTATCTGCAAGGGTATATAAACTTCGGCGTGCCGAAGTTAGCTTCCTTTCTTGTTTGTTGTTATTTTAGTTATTTTTTGGCAGAGTCAGCTGTCGTTGCTGTGTGTCATTCGGTTATCATCATCGTTTTGTGGCAAAAACGACACGCAACACCATTATTTGCCACACACCGACAGTTGGCGCTTCCTGTCCTGCTCAAGGACTTGCGATTGTTTCCCCGGATTGTCCACATAGGGTCCGCTATTTGTCCGCCCCGTTGTCCTTCGAGTGTTACTTGAAACAACTTGAACTCTGAACACTGCTGGAAAACTGCTGCAAAACTGTGAGCACTTGCAACCTGAACTCAAGCTCAAACCCCAAACCAAAGACCCCTAACCAATACCCTTTCATTTTTAGCCAGGTTTGGCTGGCTGACAAAAGTTTTCGCCAACGAGGCGAGGGGAAAACGTGCGCAAAGACTTTACTTTTTAAGCGCCACAAGGGCACTTGAAAAACAGACTTTGCTGTCCCTGACATTAAAACCGCGTTACGTGTGTCCTCACGACTTTAATTGGACTCTAAACAAGGGTTAAACGGCTGCTGGTGCTGCTGCTCCTCCACCTGCTGTTTTCTTAACCCCAAAAATAATAATGAAACAAAGGAGAGATAGCTGATAAACAACACGCATGTGGCAAGACTGCAAATTATTGGGGAACCACCATAGCTGGGGGGATTTCTCATTGGGATCGTAAAGAAGCACTCATGACATAGATATATATACATATCTGACTCAGTACTATAGCCGGGGGTTTTCTTTTTAATGACCACGTAACTGCAATGTGGTTAAGTTTGTTCTTTTTTTAATATAAAATAAGAATTTTTAGTAAATAATCTGAAATTCATGGATATTCTCATAATAATTACGCTTTCTTTCTTACTTGTTGAACAATAGTTTTCATTCATAGGAAATGAAACCTTATCCCCTTCCCATAGAATATTGAACTCTTGAAATCTTTTATTCCCCCATTGATTTATTACCTCAACTCGGACTTCTGGCAGGCAGTTACTCTTATTCTCAAACTAATGATCACTGTGCTAAGTGATCGAGTAAAACATTTCCTGATTGTTCAACGCGTATCCAAATTGGAGTTGGCAATTAACAGCTGTTTTTGAGCAAGGGTAAATACACACAGCACCCATCACTCATCACAACACTCTAATGATCGCCCGTGAGATTGACGATAATCATGATGACATCATTCAGTGCAGGTTGTCCCCTACAGCTGATCTCAGCGTGAACGCATAAACAAGGTGACGTATACGCCGTGTGGTTGCCACAATGACGTCAGTTTTATGCGCATTCACCATTGCCGACCATGTGTCATCGATTGCTGCAGATTGCAACACACAGAGGCACCCAAATCCCATCACAGTGATGGCGATATGGCGATGGCGATGGCGATGGTGATGGTGGTGACTAATGCCAGCCGCCGCCGCCAATGTGGGTCAGGCATGAATTTGCATTTGGCCAAAGTCTATTTTCGGGGCCGACAGCGACGGCAGCTAATGCACAAAAATATAACCAAATATTTCGGTCATAATATCAGAGACAACATTACGAATTAATCATACGGCTCGAGAGTTGAGTGCGCGGTGCCAGGCGCAAAGCAAGTAGGGAAAGAGCGTTCCAGACTAGCAGATGCCCTGGACATTTCATTTAAATAAATATTTCACAATAATCATATGAAATGTAATGTAAGAAGTGTAAGTTGAAAGACTAAACCATTAACACTTTACAGCTATTTAAACGAAGATCATTGAGATCATTCTCACATTTGTTGACCTTTAAGCTGGAACATATGCTAAACAGTGCACTGGGCCGAAGTGACTTTACTTTTAGGAAATTGTCATAGTTATAGGTCTCCCTTAACAAACCAAAACAAAACAATTCATATATTTCGCGTAAAACCTTCCTCCTCAATAATCTCCTCCAGGGTATTGCAGTGAACATAAAATCTCTTATTCAAGCCAATCTATGCTTCAATTAGATTCCTAGTACCCGTCGCTAACTCGTGGCGTAATAAACCACACAATATAGGAACCAAGGAACCTGATCAGAGTATGGACTGCCTACCCAAAATCAATTGACATGATTTCCACGTGAATTGCCATAACAACAACAATGCTAACCCATATACGGATATACGGAGGAATACGATCCGGTCGTGGTACGAATGTTGGCCACCCAAATACGCAAATGTAGTATCTCCGTCGCCGGAGGAGGATCGATCAAACGTTGGTTGTTCAGGGCAACGCCAATATTTCGATTGGAGGCCCGGAACCTAACCTAAGCCAAGTCGAAAGGCAAAGCGTTGGCCAGAAATCAGTTGGGCAGCAGCGAGCCAAGGAGCTGGAAGGCATCACGGATACACCATTATCTGAATCGATATAAGAAAATCAGGACTAGGATCAGGACAAGCAGGATTATCATCCAACAGACAAAATGTGCGACTGCGGCTGCTATTCCTACTGTCTGCACGACAGCTCCTGCTATAGCCACTACCACTCGCACTCGCATTCGCATTCCCATCACTGCTGCGCTGGATACAAGTATCTCAAGTGCTTGTGTCGCTACTATCGCCATGGGCACTGCACCTGCTCCTGCTGGAGACGGAAATGCTACCTGCTCTAAGAAGGAGGAGAAGCCGGAGACAGAATCGGAATCGTTATCTGAGGGAGAATGAAGCTGCGCTGCACCACGACACACACAACAAATCAAAACTCAAACAACGCAAATCACCAAAGAAATCACACGATAAAGTCCTTTAAGCAGTTGCATAACACTTGGCTGCATCCGAAATCGACCAAGAGTGAGGGAATGAAGCGAGTGCTAAATGGAAAATGGGAAAATGTTGCCAGGAGGACGGGAGGAGGAAAGGAGGAGGAAAATGTGGAGCATGAGGAGAAGGCCAAACAACTAGCGTGCATACGGGTCGTATGTGCAACGTTTTCAGTTGTCGTGTGAGAGTTCAGTGTGTGCGGGGTGTGTGTGTGCGAGTGCCTGACTGCGAGTGAAAATGAAATGGTTCAAGGATGCGGCCAACACAGTTATCGACTGCGTTTTTTGCATTTTGCAGTTGCAAAATTTTCCCTTTCCCCCCATTCACACGATAAAGTCCCACTTAACTCCCAACTGAAGCAACTCGAATTAGTGCGTAAGTCTTACTGCACTCCACACCACACCACACTCTCGATTAACACTACACACCCTCTCCACACACACATCGTTATCGAACCTATGTGCATCAATGTTTAGTGCGTAGTTCAATATAGACTTTTCGCCATATTTGTAACGTTACCAAATCCAACAGAAACAATCCAGAAATAAAGTTTTACTCCAACACCACTTACGTAAAACGGGGTTTTATGGGATATGAAAAGTTCTAGATAGTTATAGTTTTAGTGAATACAGAAATGAACGAAATATGGATTTTTAAGCTCGAATTCAAGGTGCAGCAAAAGTGGTTTAACCACTAGAGTTTACAACTAAAAAAAAGTTTAAATAACAATCAGAAAGTCCGTACTACGGTCGATTTTTTCCGGTAGTTCACCACATCTTCTCTTGTCATTTCTTGGTTAAATAGTATCATTATGAAATGAAATCTGTCGCTTTTAAAGGTGTCCAAATGTATGCTAAGAAGGCACGCTTACCTGATCTGTAATTATTATCCCACCAATCCTGGCATTTATCTAAATTATGACCATTAGAGTCGCTCCAGTAATTCCGCTTAATATCTTTCCTTAATATATTCCCCTAATACCACACCCCTCAGTTGACTTCGGTATTCGTAATCATCTTTTTGCTGACTTTCGACTTCGATGAGCTTTTTTTCGCCTTCTCCCACACCTTCTGTTGACATTGCCCAATTGGCCATATGCAAATACAAACAAAGACCCTATAAGCCCAGCTGTTGGCGGTCGGAAAAGTCAGGTCGGTAAAGCGCGTGGAGTCAAAAATGGAAATGTTGTTGTCATTATGTGCATTAAATTACATTTATTTGATGGCAGCTTTCTTCGTTCTTCGTTCTCTATTCCCCGTTGCCGGCTGCCCCCGGGAAAGTCTCTCTTCAGAGTTTTTCCTGACAATGATTATACGCCGTAACGACATCTCTAAACCCCAACCTGCCACGGAATCTTCTCTCCCATTGCCATTAAAGGTGTTCCGGCCGACAAACAAGGTGATTATGGCCAGGCGAGTTGCTCTCTGGACTTTGGACTGTGGCCTCTCCTGCTAATGGACTCGCGCTCAGTCGGTCAAGGAGGGTGAACGGGAAGGTAGAAAACGCGCGGGAAAATTGAGAAAAAGCACGGGAAAACTGGAGAAATGCTTTGTAAAGAACAGGGAAAATATGTGGGTACACACAGAAAAAAACTTAATTTAAAATATTGAAGTAAAATTTAACGACAGTTAGAAGTTTGAGTTGCCGTAAATTTAAACTAAATTAAACTAATTTATACTTTATATATTTATATCGATCAAAGTACTTGCTTTTAAGATAAAGCCTTGACTTGTAAATCAAAATCTTATAAAACAAGGATACATTTTATGTTACATGATTCCTACCCATATATTTTAAGTGCACAGTGTGTTTGTATTGGAGTGTAAAGGACAAGAGGGGACAACGCGAGCATTTATTTAAATTTTGCACTGCAGGTTCACAAGGACGTGACTGCCAGTATCGAACGAATTCCTAGCCCCCAGTCCCCTCTGAACCCTCCATTCAGATTCAGCTTTTCTGGTTTAGAAATTTTCCGACTTCCTCATGAATATCAAATGATGACGCAGCATTAACACCAAAAGAAGATGGTGGAGGGAACCCAGACTTTGGGGGTGTATCAGCTCTGATATTGGTTTTTGATTATCCTTCAATGCAAGGCGTCCTGGGTGTTGACGCTGGTGGTGGTGGCATTCCTGTTAACATTTTAATTAATTGGCAGATCGTAAAAATTTGTTGGACATTTCAGGGACATGCATCAAAATTCATCAACAATTTTAAAGGTAGGGTCAGTCGTTTTTGCTTTGTTAAGTACAAATTCTTATTTATTAAATAAAGTTAAAAAAAAAATGTTCTTTTAGGTGGAATTTAACTTTAGAACAACAAAACTAACTTTGAGGCGCCGATGTTTATGTCCTTGCAGTTTGCAAATGAACAATACGGAAAATAATCATAAAAAAGCTTAAATCGCCTAGAAATCAAAGATTAAAAAACACGTAACTACGCCAAAAAGTCACAAATTTTAATTCGGCAAGTTTTCCTATGGTAGTTTTTATGCCTAGAAAGATTCGCCTGTTGATGCAGATCAAGAATATATATGGATTATAGGGCCGGAAATGAGTCTTTCCCAGAGTTTTAAGCTCCTGACTAAGAATTTAGTACCATTCTTTTAGAATATATTTATCCATATTTTTGTATGAAAAATGTTCTATAAATCAAAGTAAAAATCACATAACTCCGTTAAAAAGGCACTAATTTTATCAACAATTTTAAAGGTAGGGTCAGTCGTTTTTGCTTTGTTAAGTACAAATTCTTATTTATTAAATAAAGTTAAAAAAAAATGTTCTTTTAGGTGGAATTTAACTTTAGAACAACAAAACTAACTTTGAGGAGCCGATGTTTATGTCCTTGCAGTTTGCAAATGAACAATACGGAAAATAATCATAAAAAAGCTTAAATCGCCTAGAAATCAAAGATTAAAAAACACGTAACTACGCCAAAAAGTCACAAATTTTAATTCGGCAAGTTTTCCTATGGTAGTTTTTATGCCTAGAAAGATTCGCCTGTTGATGCAGATCAAGAATATATATGGATTATAGGGCCGGAAATGAGTCTTTCCCAGAGTTTTAAGCTCCTGACTAAGAATTTAGTACCATTCTTTTAGAATATATTTATCCATATTTTTGTATGAAAAATGTTCTATAAATCAAAGTAAAAAATCACATAACTCCGTTAAAAAGGCACTAATTTTAATTCGGAAAGCTCTCCTGTGTTAGTTTTTATTAGGCTAATATATCAGCATACTCAATTTAAAATGTAGAAAAATTCAAATTTTTATCATTTTATTTTTTTAATTTTAACCCGTCATAAAATTTTGAAAAAAATTACCAAAAAATTGTTCCTTTCCTACATGCCTAGAAAGATTCGCCAGTTGATGCTGATGAAGAATATATATGGAATATAGGGCCGAAATTGATTCCTTCACAGAGTTTTAGGCTTCTGACTAAGAATATAGTATGTATCATTCTTTTAGAATATATTTATCCATATTTTTGTATGAAAAATGTTCTATAAATCAAAGTAAAAAATCACATAACTCCGTTAAAAAGGCACTAATTTTAATTCGGAAAGCTCTCCTGTGTTAGTTTTTATTGGGTTAATAAATCTGCATACTCAATTTAAAATGTAGAAAAATTCAAATTTTTATCATTTTATTTTTTAATTTTAACCCGTCATAAAATTTAAAAAAAAATTACCAACAAATTTTTCCTTTCCTACATGCCTAGAAAGATTCGCCTGTTGATGCTGATCAAGAATATATATGGATTATAGGGCCGGAAATGACTCCTTCCCAGAGTTTTAAGCTTCTGACTAAGAATTTAGTACCATTCTTTTAGAATATATTTATCCATATTTTTGTATGAAAAATGTTCTATAAATCAAAGTAAAAAATCACATAACTCCGTTGAAAAGGCACTAATTTTAATTCGGAAAGCTCTCCTGTGTTAGTTTTTATTGGGTTAATAAATCTGCATACTCAATTTAAAATGTAGAAAAATTCAAATTTTTATCATTTTATTTTTTATTTTAACCCGTCATAAAATTTAAAAAAAAATTACCAACAAATATTTCCTTTCCTACATGCCTAGAAAGATTCGCCTGTTGATGCTGATCAAGAATATATATGGATTATAGGGCCGGAAATGATTCCTTCACAGAGTTTTAAGCTTCTGACTAAGAATTTAGTACCATTCTTTTAGAATATATTTATCCATATTTTTGTATGAAAAATGTTCTATAAATCAAAGTAAAAAATCGCATAACTCCGTTAAAAAGGCACTAATTTAAATTCGGAAAGCTCTCCTGTGTTAGTTTTTATTGGGTTAATAAATCTGCATACTCAATTTAAAATGTAGAAAAATTCAAATTTTTATCATTTTATTTTTATTTTAACCCGTCATAAAATTTAAAAAAAAATTACCAACAAATTTTTCCTTTCCTACATGCCTAGAAAGATTCGCCTGTTGATGCTGATCAAGAATATATATGGAATATATGGCCGGAAATGATTTCTTCACAGAGTTTTAGGCTTCTGACTAAGAATATAGTACCATTCTTTTAGAATATATTTATCCATATTTTTGTATGAAAAATGTTCTATAAATCAAAGTTTAAAAATCACATAACTACGTCAAAAAGGCACTAATTTTAGTTCGGCAAGCTCTCCTATGTTAGTTTTTATTAGGTTAATAAACATGCATACTCAATTTAAAATGTAGAAAAATTCAAATTTTAATCATTTTATTTTTTAATTTTAACCCGTCATAAAATTTAAAAAAAAATTACCAAAAAATTTTTCCTTTCCTACATGCCTAGAAAGATTCGCCTGTTGATGCTGATCAAGAATATATATGGATTATAGGGCCGGAAATGACTCCTTCCCAGAGTTTTAAGCTTCTGACTAAGAATTTAGTACCATTATTTTAGAATATATTTATCCATAGTTTTGTATGAAAATGTTCTATAAATCAAAGTTTAAAAATCACATAACTACGTTAAAAAGGCACTAATTTTAATTCGGAAAGCTCTCCTATGTTAGTTTTTATTAGGCTAATATGTCTGCATACTCAATTTAAAATGTAGAAAAATTCAAATTTTTATCATTTTATTTTTAATTTTAACCCGTCATAAAATTAAAAAAAAAATTACCAAAAAATGTTTCCTTTCCTACATGCCTAGAAAGATTCGCCTGTTGATGCTGATCTAGAATATATATGGATTATAGGGCCGGAAATGACTCCTTCCCAGAGTTTTAAGCTTCTGACTAAGAATTTAGTACCATTCTTTTAGAATATATTTATCCATAGTTTTGTATGAAAAATGTTCTATAAATCAAAGTAAAAAATCACATAACTACGTTAAAAAGGTACTAATTTTAATTCGGAAAGCTCTCCTATGTTAGTTTTTATTAGGCTAATATGTCTGCATACTCAATTTAAAATGTAGAAAAATTCAAATTTTTATCATTTTAATTTTTTTAATTTTAACCCGTCATAAAATTTTGAAAAAAATTACCAAAAAATTGTTCCTTTCCTACATGCCTAGAAAGATTCG